GACCCCCTGCTTAGAGGGCAGATGATGCCCTTGAGAAGTTGCCAACTTTGAGCCAAGCCCCCGCCTTTCTCAGTAATTAGTGATATTGACCTTCAGCATTTCACTTTACATTTCTTCCTTCTTTTTCTTTCTTTTTTTAAAAAGATTTATTTATTTATTTTAGAGAGAGAGAGATCAAGTCGGAGAGGGGCAGAGGGAAAGACTCTTCAAACAAACACCCCGCTGAGTGCAGAGTCCCATGTGGGGCTCTATCCCATGACCCATGAGCTATGACCCGAGCTGAAACCAGGAGTCAGACACTCAACTGATTGAGCCACCCAGGTGCCCCTCTTCTTCTTCTTCTTCTTTTTTAAATAAAATGAGGAAGTTTGGCATTGCAGATAGCCCTAGGTGAGATTCACTTGCACAATGACCTTGAGTAGGTAATTTATAAATACCTCCCTGAGACTCAGTTTTTTCATCTGGAAAAAGTGGCTGAGAGTTGACATGAGAATTAAACCACTTGAGATAATGTGTTTAATGCATGGCACACAGTATCAGGCACAGAGATTATGCTTGTTGGGGTGATAGTGTGCTGGTTTGGAATGAGTAAAGGTCAGATTTGGGTTTGAATCTAGGTTCTGTCAATTTTTAGCTGTGACTTTGGGCAATTTGCTTATTTTCTGTGGGTCTCTGTTTCCTAATCTGTAAACAGAAGTGATAAATACTCATAAGGCAAGAGGAAGATGACATTAAATTAAATGAGATGATCTATATTACATACACATCCACCTGTCTGTGTAGAGTAAACGCTCCATAAGCACTATATCATCAAAGTGATGATGATGACCAGCGGCATAATGAGCTGGTTCTGCACTCCAGAACCTTTGGGAAGTCTATCCAAGATGATGTCCCAACCACTGTGGTTTAAGAAGAAGCTGAAGGAAGCTGGCTGATGAGGGTGTTTGTGGAAAATTCTTTTCCCTAGTGTTCTGACTCCAAGGTATGGGAATTGAGAGTCTAATCACCAAACTGACATAGGTCCTTCTTGAATTTTCCTTCTTGTTCCACAGGGCATAACAAGGAACCTAAGGAAGTAGGGGGGAAAGAGGAAGACCATCTGATGCCTTCCCAATTTGCTATATCTATCTATCTATCTATCTATCTATCTATCTATCTATCTATCTATCTATCTATCATCTATCTATCTATCTATCATCAATCATCTATCCATCCATCCATCCATCCATCCATCCATCCATCCTTGATCAAGCTCTCACTATGTGCTGTACTGTACAAGGCACATACTTTCTAGTTTTGAGGTTTTAATTTAGACAAATGGCATGGGATTTGCATTTCTCCTCTCCCATGTGTCTACTTGCATCTCCAAGCTGACACAGGAAAGATTTATTCCAGGCCCAGGATGCTGGAAGCTTTCCTGTCCCAGCCTCCCTAGGTCTGGGGGAGACATGGTTGTATCAGGGCAAACTGAAAGTGGATCTCCCCTGCCCTTCACCATCTACCCTGAGGTTGCCTTACATGTAGGTAAAAGCAGAGGCAAAGCGATTTGAGAAAGAGAATGCTTGAGAATATGAAATTCCGAGGACAAATTAATTTGGGCATGACTACAACATATTTTTTCCCCAGAGCTAAGTAAGACATAAATCTGATCCTTAAGGAGTTAACATAACTTAGGATCTAGAAGCCATGTTCCTTCTTATCTTGGGACCTTGAACATGCTAGTAATACACCCTTAATTCATCCTTACTCTTTGCAACTTTTATCAACAATGTAACAGATGATATATCATGAATTGCTCAATGTTTGTCTGTTCAATGGAGTGTAAGCTCTAGGAGGGCAGGGATCATTCATACTACAAATAACTTCAATCCACCTATATACATTCCAGGCACTGTTCTGAGCCCTGAAGATGCACTTTGCCTCATAGAACTTTCCGTCTCATTCCAAGGATGGGAATAAATGGTATTACTACTACTTAATATGGTGGTTGGGTGGCATTCAAGAAGATTTCTGAAAGATGTGAGGGACCGTGTCATGAGGATATCTGGAGGAAGAGCATTTGGGGAGAGGGAATGGAAAGTGCAAAGGCCTTGAGGCTGGAACATGCTTGGTATGTCCAAGAAATAGCAGGGAGACCAATGTGGTTGATGCAGAATGACCCAGTTCTAGAGTGGTAGAAGATGAAATCATAAAAGTAGCAGGTGGCCCTGGCTATTATTCTGAGCCAGAGGGGAAGCTGTTTTTGAGCAGAATTGGTAGCATGATCTGATGAACATTTCAAGGATTCCTTTGGCTGCCATGTGAACAGACTGCCATGAGTGGAGGCAGGGACTTATTTCCTATTACACAATCCAGGTAAGCGTGGCTCAGACTAGGATGGTAAGAAGCAGATGGTCTACGTATCCTGCAGGAAGAATGTTGAGCAGAGTACCATGTACCAGTTATCAATCCCGGGGAAGAACTCCAAACACTTCTGCCCACTTGGGCATCTTGGTTTTGAAATCACCAAGGAAGACACAACACAGTCTAGCACTGCGTGGAATGATGCTTTACTTATGGAGACAAGAGGCAGAGCAAAATCAGCTCCAATAGTGTGGATCAGTCCCTCATGGCAAGCAGGGCCCCCCAACAGCCAGCGCAGGACAATTGCCTATGCACACCCGTGTAGTGCTGCATTGGAAGGACCTCAACCTCTCTCCCATGGAGCTGGAAATAATGGAAGCTGGGGGCATGCCTGAGGACCATTGATATACACACTTAAGCAGAATAAGGGAACACTCACTGTGCCTGAAACAGGGAAAGCTATGCCCACATGAGAAATGGTAAGCCTGCCCAGGCTGTGTGGACTCTGTAATCTCTTGGTAAGGAAGCATTCCAGACCCAAAGCCCATTCTTTGAGACCAAGTGGGGGTAGAAAGACTGCATGAACTTGCCTTTCCCAACAGTCTGTAGGACTGGTTGCTTGAGTGTTGGGACCGAGGGGGAGGAGGTAAGAAGGACTCCAAGGCTTTTAGTTGGAAAACTTGAGGTACTAGTTACTGAAGACTGTGGAGGGGTGCATGTGTGTGCATGTGTGTGTGTGCGTGGGGGTGATCAGGAGCTGGGTTTTGTTCCTGTGAAGTTTGAGGTGCCTATTAGAAATCTCACTGAGATGCAAAGCTGAGTTTTGCAAAGTTGAGTTGTCTGGAATTCAGAGGAGAGGTCTAGCTGGACGTGAGTTTTAATGCCCCTAGACTAGATGAGATCCCTCGACAAGAAGGCAAATAGGTACAAGGAAGCTGAGGGCTGAGTCTGGGTCCCTCCAAAGTTTAGAAGTCTGGGATACGAGCCAGGACCAGGAGAAAAGACCACAAAGCAGTAGCCAGTCATGTAGAAGGAAAAGTTAGAGAGGAAAAAAAACAACATTCTGGAGGCAAATCATAGGAGGGTTTCAGAAAGGATGGACAAACTTTGTTGAATGTTTCTGGGATTAAGTAAGATGAAGACTGAGAACAGACCATGGGATTTGGCAACCCAGAAGTTATTGAGGACCTGGATAAGAACTGTTTTGGTGGAGCAATGGGCAAGCCAGTCTGGGAAGATTGGGTTCAAGAGGAAAGGGGAGCAGAGAAATGGTAGGAAATGGAAGGGAGTGAAGAGTCAGGAAGGCTCTCCCCCCGCCCCCCATCTGATAGGAATGATCAAGAAGAGAGGGGAAAATGTGGTGATGCAATGGGAGGGAGTGATTGGCTGATCAATGACTTGGGTATTGAAAAAGAGAATGAGGATGATACAGGTTTAAGCAGAGGGGTTGGCTTTAGACAGGAGCTTTTTGGTTCATCTATGGTAGTGGGAGGGAAGGCAGAGTATATAGGCCAGATGCCCCGAGGCTAGTAGATGTGTTGTTGGGAGTCTGCAGAATTCTCTTCTGATTGCTTTTACTTTCTTAGCTGAGAGTGAGGAGCAGGCAAGAGAAGTTATAACACGATTGTTTAGTTCTCAGATCGGATTTCCTCAAAATTATACCGGGCAGGAAAGTTGATGAATGAATGACTTGGGAAATGTGGTAGGATCGCAGAGAGCGTTTGGGCCCATTGAGCTTGGTTGTCACGCATTCCAAGGGAGCCAGTCAGAATGCTTGCGTATTTTTCTCCCACCAGGTTCAGCCGCTTGGATGAAGGCTTAGAATGGTTAAGAAAGTGAGATTTGGTAAGGGTTGTGTTTTTCTCCAGATGTGTGTTAGGGAAAGAGGAAGAAAGGATTTGGAGCATATACTAGAGAGTAGTGATAACAATACATATCTAATATAAGCAGGGTAAGAAGAAAAACAAGGAAATAAAGGGATTAAGGGATAGTAAGCAAGGGGTAATCACCATTGTATTTAGATTACAGCGGGGTCAGTAACTTTTGGAACTGACTAACTAAAGATAAAAGACAGTGGTTGGAGAGTAGGATCTTCCAAATTAAGATAATGGCGTAGTGAATTACCCGTATGAAGAGGTCTAGAGTATGGCCATGGGAGGGAGTGGCTGAGTTAGGATGAATTAGAAAGGGACTGAAGGCAGTCATGGAACTGTGCATCCAGGACATTACAGGGGTTTTCTCTGTGGAAAGAGAATTCACTGAGAACCCAACCTGAAAAACTACTGGAGAAGGAGACAATGAGCCAGGTGCTCAGCTCTTATTAAGAATGAGGGGAATGTCCGAGGGGTCTATAGATGGCTCCCTAACCAGAGAGTTTGGTCTGGCAGCATGACCTTGGAAGCCAAGAGTGTTGTGGGGTTAGGGGTAGAGGTATGGGAGATTGATAAAGAGCAGGGAAGATTCCTACCCCACCTCTAAGCCCAGTGGAACAAGGGGTAGGAGAATGAAAAGAACCGCAAGTTCTTGAGAGGACAGCAGAGGTAGAGCTTTGAGATTTTTTTTTTTTTTTTTTTTAAGGTGGGTTCTAGACCCATAGGGATCTGGCCTCCTCCAAGAGCTGCCTCCCTGCTGCAGTCATGTGGCCCCTTCCTGGAGCTGTCTTCTCTTTGGCCACAAACCCTTCTATGACGCAATATATTACAGTGGTTAGCATCACACAGGCTTTGAAGTCCGACTGCCTTGATTCAAACCAAACCTGCATTCTTGCTCCACTCCTTATTAACTCTGTGAACTTAGGCTAATTGATTAAACTTTCTGTGCTTCAGTTTCGTCATCAGAAACACAGGGGTAATAATGGGCTTAATTATGGGGTTGTTGTGAAGATTAATGGAATCAATATAAGCACAGTGCTTGGAATGGTGCCTAGAACATGGTAAGTGCGCATATTAGTTCCTGCTATTAATATTATTATTTTTAAAATTAATATTCCGCTCCTGGTGGGTTCCTTATTCTGTTGGGACAGAAAGGGGAAGGGACCATTTAGGGATGCAACTGAAGGTATAGGGATTTTGCTGATAATGGACTATGGGTTCCAGAGGATCCAATCGGAGGATCTGAGTAGTTAAGGGTAGCCAGGTTAGGTCTAAGGGATGATATGAGATGAGCTGAGGGAGTCTTAAGGCTTCTTAAGCAGAAATGAGCAGAGATGAAGAGCAAGATGGAATCAGTCCTGTTGGTATCTCAGGTAAGAAGGGAAGGGAGGACAGTGTTGTGAGGGGCAGGGAGCCCTGCATTTCCCTTCAGGTCTGCTGCTGGAAAGGCAAGGCTGGGTGAAGGGCCATCTTGCCTGGAACTTGGGGGCTCCCTCTTCACGTCTGCCAATGGACATGGTTAGTGTGGTTTGCAGCTATATCCCTGGTGTCTAGCATGGTGCTTGGCACAAGGAGAGCCCCACAACATCCTTGCTAAAGTAATGAAAGATGCTTCCGGAGATGAACACACTGTCATGAGCTCCCCATCATCTCGGCCTCTGCTAACACTTCACACTACCTTTTTTGGAAATCTGTCTAATCCCTTGGTCAGATTCTTTCTGAACTGCACCAGGCATCCTGGTACACCTCTGTACCTGTGATGGTCTTGCCTGTAAAATAGTTGTCCTTGCAGCTCACCTCACCCAGAGTTGAGATAAAAGGTGTCATACAATGTTCCCAAAGCTGGGTTTCACATTGCCTGAGCAGATGCTACTGCTGCGGAATAACCAAAAATGTTGAAATTGAAACCAGAAGGACTTGTTGAGCCTTGCCTTTTTCTGATGGGACAGATAGTTTCTTTTTTCCTTGGCTCAGTGCTCAAGATTTTGTGACATGAAGCCATTCTGCTGCTGTCCCCCATGGCTGCCCATCCTTACCTGCTGTGGCCGTCTGCTCTTGGGTTATGGGCTGTGCTGATGAGCTCTGATGAGCTCATCGAGGACCTGGGTCCTAGGAGACAACACGTTGCAGACAGTAATCTGGGGGTCGTAGACTGGATGGAAAATTACCCACAGGCATATGCTGTTTGGCTCACATACTGTCTTAGAAATCAGAACATTTTGTGTAAAATTCCAGATTTATGGCTTTTTGGGGAAATCAAAAGGCTCAGCCACACTGACTCTGGGATCCTACATGGCAACTCTTAGCTGGAGGTGAGTCATGACGCCCCCTGCAGGCAGAGCACTGGCTCTCTGAGTCAGTAGAGACCCCTCCATGCATGCTCCTTGTGACTCTAACATTTATATTGTGTGTCTGCTTCTCATTGGGCACTGGCATTTAAAACTTGAGCTGCCCAACCTAAATAGAGGGGCATTTGAGGGCACTTGCAGAGTGTAAAGTAATCCGTGAAGGATTAATGACTATATGGAATATTGATGTGCCGGCCACAGAACGGCACTTGGACCCTTTCTGGCTGTTTGTGAGAGTAAACAACTTATATAATCTCTAGAAAGAAAAAAAAAAGCAAAGACCTAACTAATTGACACATTCTGCTCTTCCTGGAAATTTTAAACTTAAATCAGGAGCATGGGAAACGATTGCGTAATATGTTTGAGAACACCGTGGTTATCAAAGTAGAAAAATGCCTGATTCCTTCCCAGCATAGTGGAGAATTTCACAGTTCTCTTTACTCTTTCGTATTGAAACAACACCAATTATCACCTGCTGGACTCTTCATGGATTTTGTCACTTCGGAAACAAGTCGTGGAGTACTGCATTTTTTGTGTGTGTGAGCAGTGCAAAAAAAAAAAAACTGAACAATCTCGTGACCGAGGTTATTTATTTTTTTCCCCCAAGAACAACTCAGCCCCTGACTAGCTGTGATCTTGGGTGAGTTGTTTAACCTCCACAAACCTCGGTTTTCACCTCTATAAATCTGAAAGTAACAGTTTTATCTTACAGTGTTTTTGTGAGGATTAAATCAACGGTCTACATAAAAGTGCCTGGCACAGAGCTTGCCACTGAGAAGCTTTCCACTGAATCTTTCTGTTCATGGCATTCATAAGGAAAGACCCCTAGCCAAGGGAGAACCCCTGGGAGGCCCACACAAGGAATCTCTGAGAAAGATGAGGAGAAGGGGGCTGAAGTCCTGCCTCATGGAACCAGCCCAGTCTGGAGAGAGGGTGGCTGTTCATCTGCTGGTCTGAGTTACCAGCTCTGGGAGACTTCTCTTCCTTCAAGAACCAGGTTTATAACATTTCTGCTCAAAACAATACTTGCCCCTGGGGAACATGCAAGGAAAAATTCTTTGGCCACAACTCTCTGGCTCTGATGTCTATTTCTTGGGGCCATTTCCCCAGGGAGGCAGGCAGGCCAGTCAGCCTGGATTTTCTAAAACAGCCCAAAGCTAAGCTATTCCTTCTCCATTGGTCATTAACCTTGTTGAGGTAACAAGCATTCACTGTGCACCTTTTAATTGCCAGGCACTGCATTAGGTTTTTGGGATACAACGATCAAAGACGTGCCTCTGCCCTCAAGTAGCTGACAGTCTAGGGGAGGATGTGGATAAGTAAACAGATGCTAAATATAGTGTGACAAGCACTACAACTGGGGTATACTCAGGATGCCACGGGAGTTCATGGGAAGGGCAACAAAATCACTTTGGAGAGATTTGGGAAGTCTTTCTGGAAGAGGTAAGTTCAAATTGAGACCTGAAGGATAAATAGGGGTTTTCAGGCCAACAAGGAGGGAGAGGACAATTCAGAAAGAGGGAGCAGCTTGTGCAAAGAGCCAGGGGCAAGGCAATATGGCAGGCTTAAGAGTCCACCAGTGCTCATCAAGACCAGAGTGCTGTTGGGAACTCCCACCATCACGTAGGGCTTTGTTTGCTGTACTGAGGAGTTTGAACTTGATCCTTAAATTATTTCAGATACCCCAACATTTTGGGGCCCAGCCTGCATCTCTGAGACAACTTTGCATACCCAGAATTGACCACATAGCTCCCCTTTTGAAATGCACGGTCAACGTAGTTGTTACCTGGATGACATAGTCCATGTTCCTTAGCACACACACTTTACATTTTCAGGGACAGTCCCTTTTACACGTGTTCCATGGTCAGAACAATGTAACCCAAATTTTTGTTTGGACAAATTAGAATTCACGTATATAACATAAAAATGGCCCACTGCTTCTGCTCCTAGTGCTGCCACCACCAATGAACCCATCCTCATATCTCTGAGCTTTTAGGGATTTCAAATATGTCAAGTGCCCATTTCATAGACTTCCAACTCAGGTTTGCAAAATCATGGGTAATGTGCTTTGTTTTGCCAAAACTCGATTTGATTTCTATCTTCAGCTCATGCCACTGGCAGGGGAAACTTAATCTTGGTTACATCAGGATTAACTGAACCAATTCAAGGGTTTCTCAGTCAGTTCCCCCTCTCCTATTCCCTCCATGATTGCACCTAACTTCCAGGAAGCTCGAGGGCTGTCCGTCAAGCTTTGGGAGTGGCATCTGGCTCTTCGTCATCACATCCTCTCTTAGCTTCTACCACTACTGCTCAGTTGTTTCTGCCCTCCTTTGCTGGCCTCCTTTGGGTTGTCTGATCCCTCATCTTTTCCCTGGTGGTTGGTTCATAAAGCCCACTCTTATCTCCACAAGAGGACCTGGAGACACCAAATATTGAATGGAAAGCATTTGACCTCTTACCTCACCACATGGTAAGACCCTTGACTCAATTTCTCTATCACTCTGGCTCCATGGTGGGTGGAGAACCCTAAGGCCTTATTCACTTTCCTAGGCCCTGCTTAGCAGGTGAACTATGATTCCTTCTTGGAATGAGAGAAGGAAGGCTCTTGGCCTTATGATTCTCCCCCAGCCCTACAGACCTGACCCCAAAGGAACAGGACACAGAGCAGACCACTCATAGGACCACTCATCACTTCACCCTTTTTCCATTTTAGGAGATTTTAATCTAATATAAGTGTTCATTAAAACCAGCTCTAACTGATCATGGGTTCTTTTTGCCTACTTTTTTTGGAAATAAACTTTCTGCTTGGGGTCTTTATGGGTTCTGCTTTGGGAACTCCAGTACCCCTTTCTCTCAAACTACCCCTTGGCCACAGGTTCGAACATTCATTTTGAAATACAAAAGCTGAGCATGACTTTATTTATTTATTTATTTATTTATTTTATTGCTGTAACAAGAAACAACCTTCCCCAAGGGCAGTTGGAACAGAACAGTCTCACTGTTGGTTGATGGAAGGTGGGAATAAAGGAGTATCCAGGCAAAATTCTCAGGGATAGAATATTCTTCCCCCCAAAATGTTACTCATTTTGAGTAATAAACAGGCAGCACTGTTGGGTCTCAGAGTGGGCTGTAGTAGAAAGAGGGGGAGTAGAGTCCATAGTCCATGTGACCATGACATATGTCCATAAATATAGTCCATGCTGCCCATAGTTTAGAGTACTAGGTGGTACTAGTCTAGAAACTAGGGCCTGTTTACTTTCTTCCCTACTGAGAAGCTTTATCAGAATGCAAGTGAGTGATGGAAATGTTCGGCTAACAAAAACATCCACTTTAATCTCCCTCCCCTCCCCTCCCTTCCCCTCTCCCTCCCTCTCTCTCTCCCCCCCCCCCATATATATACTCTTTACAAGCCTGTGCACCCAGGAGAAAGTGATGGCTGTTGCTTACCGTGTCCTCAAAGTGCAAAAGGATGGTAACCTAAGTTCTGTCCAGTGAACTCACTGCAAAGTTAGACCAAAGCACACTAGTAGCTTCCTGGTTGTTTGGATCTGGAAGATTCAAGCCATGGAGCTCCCAGGAACACGATTCCAACATATGGCATAAAGAGGAAATCTCTGGTCCTTATTGCGCTGTGTTTATAAAGGCCTAATGGGTATCAGGGACTTCTGATCTCTCTTTCCAAGGTTGGGCATTAAAGTTGTCTGTTTATTTGT